CTAAAAGGAGTATATCATGCACTTTCACTTATATACATTGAAAACAATTGCCTTTGTCAGGCCGCGTCGGTCGTTTATAGCTGACATCCTAGATTCCCAAGGCAAAGTGCCGCCAGACATTCCACCCGTTGAGAGTCGAATGCCCGAAATCGTCTTCCGTCAACGCACTTTCAGACGAATTTTGCTTGGTCTCAAAACGAATAAGGCTATCGGTCCTGATGGAATTCCACCCATTATCCTCAAAAAATGTGCACCAGAATTAACACCGATTCTCTGCAAGTTGTTTACCGTCTCGTACAGGTCGGGTATTTTTCCATCATGCTGGAAGACAGCTAGAGTCCAACCAATCCCCAAAAAAAGGAACAAGAACCTGCCCAACAACTACAGGCCCATTGCCCTCTTATCAGTAATCTCCAAAGTGATGGAGAAAGCCATCAATATCGAGCTTATCAAATATCTGGAGAGCTCAGGAATCATCAATGATAGACAATACGGCTTTCGCCACCGAAAATCTACTGGAGATCTACTTGCCTACGTCACCCATTTATGGCAAGCTTCATCAGAAAAACACGGAGAATCTCTAGCTGTCGCGTTGGAAATATCGAAAGCATTTGATCGTGTTTGGCACGAAGGACTCCTCCACAAACTACCATCATACGGCTTTCCACCTCAGCTATGCCATCTCTTATCGAGTTTTCTTTCAGGCAGATCGCTTCATGTGGTGGTGGACGGTGTATCGTCTGATACCATGGGCATCAATTCCGGCGTTCAACAAGGATCAATTTTGACACCAACATTATTCCTTCTTCATATCAACGATCTGCGTTCTCTTCCAGAATTCCCATTTATTCCCAGGAAACTAAGAACTCACGGCGCAGACAAGTCAATGCTGTCAATGAATATCTTGCTGAAATTACAGCCTGGGGAACCAACAACCTAGTTGAATTCAACGCCACCAAAACTCAAGCCTGTATTTTCTCTAGAAAGGCAGAACTCAGTATGCTCGATATTGTAATGTCTGGCTCCACCATCCCCACCAAGCCCACCATATCTATGCTCGGTATTTCCATCAGCAACACTCTTTCATGGGATAATCATGTCAGATCCATCGCAAAAGCTGCTTTACAAAAACTCGGATTCTTGTTTCGTGCGAAAAGCTACTTTACACCTCAACAGCTTCTCATGATCTACAAAGCGCAGATACGGCCTGTTCTAGAATACTGTTTCCACATATGGGGTTCAGCACCAAAACATACGCTGATGCTCTTAGATTCCATCCAGAGAAGAGCCATTCGCCTGGTGGGTGACGCCACACTCACTCACTCTTTGACATCATTGGAACACCGTAGAAAAGTCGACGATACTTCCACGGGAAATGTTCTTCGGAAATCTCTGCTATCATCCCTTCACTAGCAATACCAATCAGACGATCTAGACAAGCCCAGTCAGCACATCCTTTCGTTGTCAACCTTGAAAGATGTCGAACAGCACTTTATCAAGACTCCTTCATCCATAGAACGGCTAGGCTCTGGAATTCATTCCCTGTGGAAATATTCCCAACAACATATAATCTCCAAAAGTTCCAAAAAAATGCCAATACTTACCTCCTGTCCCTATCCTCCCTAGGAACGCACTATGTTCTTTGAACATTATAGGAATTCCATTTCGTGCGCTCCAAGCGATAAAAAAAATGTTCTTCTGTACACCAGAACGACTTCACAATGTCTGAGCAGCAATGTGCTGATCACTTAGATGATTTTCGTTGAAGTTTGGTCAATTTCAATATTTCCGAAACAATTACATTTGACATGAAGATTGCACTTGTTTTGACCTGTTGAACATGAATAGTCAAAAATTTACAGGGTGTTCCATTCGGAAAAACACTTGCGATTTTATTTGCCTAAACGAATTATTGCATTGATTTCGGGAGGATGTAATCCAATTTTCTGCATGGCATATAGCCAGGAAAGTATAGTTGTTTTCCTCTCATTATATACCATTTTCGTTTATTTTATGAACTATTGGGGTGATGACTTTGAGGTTACCTCTTTTTGTAATAACATATAATGCTGGAGGTGTAATTTGCCACCTTGAAAAACCTTAATTACCTAAATGTCATCGATATCAGTGGAAGGACACTGTATTAGAAAGTTTATAGCATGAAATCAATAACTTACTATCACTATCATAATGTAAATCAATAAAAATCCTCATGGTATTGCATGGAATTCTCGTCACGTAGACAGAACATCAATGTCTTCCGCCATGATGATGAGGGTTCGATGGTATGTGAAACATTTAGAGGGGCCACACAGAGCAAATAGACTGTCTTCATAAGAAAAAATCCATTAGGGCGCCTTATTCGTGTCTGTTGACTACAACCACCAAATGATTCTACTCTTATTGCTATTTACTCATAGGGTCAGTGAAGTGGACAGACGCATTTCTGTACAGGGAGTGGTCAGACGCATTTCTGTACAGGGAGTATCACGACGAGTCTCTAGATCTAGACTGGTTGTCACATCCCATGATTACCTAGACTACCAATGCTTATAACTAACGAGTATATCAGGTGAAAATAGTGCTGTCGGTCAAATACTATGTTCACATGTTCGAAGCCTTATTTTTCGGAGATATTTGTCCTGCTTGGATGAGGTGAACCATCAGAATGGGGCTTTAAGAGAGCTTTCATAATTTATGATTAACAATTTCGTCCAGCAATTTCGAATGATTCCTGAATGCAATGAAATATACCATAGGATAAACTAGTTTTTCTGCAATCGACTCACAAATCGTCCATTTCTGTTCCAAACTCAGCTCTTGAAGTAGACGTTCCTTTTACTGACACAATAAAATTATTAGTATGTATGTTGCTAGGCAACACTTTCAATGTCCAGGAGCTAAAGTTGAAGTTCAACTCCTAGGAACTGAAAGTGTGTCGGATGACAGCTGATATGGTATAGCTGTTTTGATACTGGCAAGCTCAAGTGAGTCAGCATCGTGGTAACTAATTAGATATCAATAACATTTAAATTTCCTCAGAATAAAAAACATCAAAATATAAACATCATTTTTTATTTCATTTGAATCCTGTGGTAATATGGCAAAACTATAGGTATACTGGTTGGACTATACCTTCATTTATAAGATGAAGTTAATTTTGAAGCTACCTCATGTATAGCTCCCCTTTTCAGATTTTTCATTTTCTAAAATTTCCTTCGACTTCGAGTTCGACAGCTGGAACAGCATGTTAATAAATCTATATACACTGCTACTTATTCCATGATTTTTTTTTTCAGCAACTCCAAGCTCCTTCCTGTTATTTCATTTGATTGAGTGTTTTTTGTCTTTTATTATTTGGTTTGCCATAATGATGGATTTCATATGAATCCTAATGAATTATCACTAAGTAAACTTAGATTCATCCACAAATAGTGACTCGAATGTGTATTATACAGGATGTTCTTTAAGGACGTGCTAATATTCGAGGAAGCGATTCTTGGACAGAAGCCGTTTAGGTACGGGAAGGTGCATTAGTATGAGTTTATGTACCTGCCCGAATATCATCGATACCATGGCAACCGTTTGATAGTTATACATGAAATTCATTTTTTTCATTCTAACTTTCAATGTCAATAACTTCGTGACAAAGAGCGATAGACATATTTTTTATATAAAGTACTAATATTATTTTGGCTCACTCTATATAGCCCTATCATTTACGACATGACTTTTCCGCACACTCTGTATATTCACGACACAAAATTATTGAAGCAAGAATAACTCACACCACATTTCTAGTAATCCATTTCTCTCAAGCTCAATGCAAAACTTAATGAAAGGACAGAGGAAATTCTGTTCAATCCCCCTTCTAATTTTCCATCCCCCGCTTAACAGAATGCACTTTTTCTAATGACCCTTCAATATTCTAATTTTCGACGTTCTACATCTAATCGACTCAAAAGAAAATATATGACCCGGTTGACCCAATTTTCGAACTTAATCGAATTAAATCATTAATTCTAGTCTGTGTAACTGCCTTTCTGAATATAAATTAGGTATTATAAAAAGCGTTCTAACACTTTAATGGTAAGAACGTGAATGTGATTAAAAAATTATGTGTCCCTTAGGAATTAAAGAGAACTATGAATCAAGTTGAAACTTTTCGATGAATTATTATTTAGAAATGAACATGATCATCAGCTAATAGAATATCAGAAAAACATGCTGAATTTCTATACATTCCTTTTCCTCCCGAAATATTTATTCGATCGCTCTAGCCTCATATTCATAATTACCACACTCGATTTCCGAATCCTTTTAGAATACCAGTTGACTATACAGCGATGTATCATGATTTTAGTGGTGTTTCAGCCCGAATGTGGAAGAAATAAAATCAGTATCCCTCAACATGTTCAAGACTTAAATCAAATAAATACTTCATTAAGATCAGCTACGACACTCTCAATAATTATTTTCTTCCTCTTTCTGTCCACTGCAGTGTCCATTATTTCCTACCACTCACTTTTTTGTTATATATAACATAACATATTTGTAATCATATGTTGTTTCATGTTTTTAGTATTAGGCTAGAAATTTTGTATTTTTGCATTACGTTCTAATAGCGAATATTTTCTGTTCCATTACTTTCAGATGTAGCATCTATATATATGAGTAATATATTATTATTATTGTTCATGGCGTGGTGGAAGATCAACCTAGTTGAACCTCAACCAATTTACCCTTTTATTGCTGAATATTGTAAATTATTGTTCTGAATATCATCATTATGGGTAAATAAACTGAAGTAAACTAAACTATATACTGGGCGAGGCATTGGACTGCAAAAGAAGATTTTTGGGCAACCAGTCAGCGAACCAAAAGTGTTTAGATCACAAAACGAAATATCCTACCCTTGAAAATATGATCTTATTGACGCCAATATTATCCTGGGTTGAATTCGTCGGTGAAGAAAACAGATACGTTGAAAATAAAGCTAAAGTTCTGCTAAAGCATTTTTATTTTTTCCCGGTATTCATACAAACTCGATTGGTAGTACAGTGAATTTGGATGCAGTAAATAGTTTAGCACTGCTTGTACTATAGGACTGAAGACTCTTGTTATGAATTCTTGATGACCATTGACAAATTCTTGTACATTGTCATTTAAAACGATGTCCACCAATGCGCTAAATATTCCGTCATCGATCAAACCATTGATATCGAACTGAAAATTAAGAATAAAAAGTTTCATCATTTGTGCATACCTCCAAAGGTCTCCACATCATGGAACGTCAAGAAAACATCGGGATTATCCATCCTTCATATACAGGGTGTTTGGTTCACCAACGTATATTTGTAATTTGTTGGTAGGTTATGTGATTTCGAATTTATTTAACCATTCATACTGTCATACAAAGTGTTACATAATGACCATCATCCACTCAATTGATTACAGCATTAGCATATAATGCTCTCGTTGAGGTATTCTTTCTCCCTCTGTCTATTATTTTTATTATACAATATCGTTTTTGTAAACTTACCAAAAGATCACCTAGATTCAGGATAACAGAAACATTACTTATACTCAGGCCCAAATTCTGGCCCAGAGTTGCTTTCGCGTGGATAAACAATTGTAGTTCTTCCATAGTTATACTGCAAAATCGATTAACACATGATTAACATGACAATTATGATTATTGAATCAATACAGGATCATCTAGACTCAATCCAGAGAGAACTTCCAATATTCAAGGTCTTCCTAGATGTTATGTATCATGTGCAGATTGATGAAATAAACCTCTGGTGCCCTCACTATTCATTTGTTTCGTCAGATCAGACTGATTCTTGATATAAACAATTGGATTTCAAACGATGACGTAGGGTTCACATATTGAATGTTAGATGGCGTGATTCCTAGAAATTATGATCAGGATCAGTTCTACCAACCTTGATGCGGCTAAATCGCAAAATGTTTTCCCTATCTTCATTGGTTACAACAGAGATCAGTCACCCACTTACAATTCGGTCACAATTATTGTCACATTGATGCCTGTAATTTTGGTACGGCACCAGACTAAACTTAGCAAGATTCACCCACGCCATATGTTATGTTTATCGAAGTAGGCGTAAATCAAGGAATTTTAAAACAGGAAAGGATTGAATACCCCGAATGGTCCTCATATATGAACAAATTGACGGAGTTACCATGGTAATGTCGATTCCATCAATTATATTCCTCATTGCAGTCATGATCTATTCCTATCGTGCTGGAGAGGTCAAGAGGTATTCACAATGAAAAATCAATTTATACCGGTCGTGCATATATTGTATGTATTTCGGGCGTAACTTGCTTTCATGGACCTAGGCGTGTAAGTACCCCTCGCTATCCCTTGGGCTGTCCATAAAACCCCATTTCACGCCCTTGATACGTATTAAATTTGCAGCGTATAAGTAATATTAACACGCCTAATGCAAGTTACGCCCGAAATACATACAACATTTTGTGTACGACCGTCTCAGACCTTTATTCACTGTCAATTCGGAATTTATTAATGATTTTGAATTCATTTGGCCAGATTATGTATGCCCCTGACGAAGAAAGATCAAATGGTAGTCTACAACAAATAACTGGAAAAACAGTGGAATTACTTTACCTCCCGATCACTTATTTACCGCCCGCAGTACTTCCTTATCGCCCTAAGGCGCTAAAGTGCTACTTCACGCCCGCGAATTCGGATGCTGAAGTGTCACTTTACGTTCGGTCGTGCATGAAGTTTTATTTTATACCGAGTGTCCCAGTATACCTGTTCCAATGGATTATCTTAGTCATTTCGAAAGTAACAAATCTGAAAATTTCATGATCTCCAATTCGTTCAAGGAACCTTCAACTGAGAGGAACGAAAATTGAAAGTCACTTCCGGTTTGACCGGAAGTGACTCTAACTTCTTTATTTCAAATAGCACCCTGTATATTTTTTGCAATTTTTGCTTTCTACTCAAAATAACCTTTCCAACGATGTATCACACTTTGCACACAATTGATTTGATAGAGAAAACGAAAATTGAAATTTGAAATCGAGAGAATTGCAGTAGACTACGATATTTTGTGTACTTAATGATGTGTTCCTCAATAATTGATGATTCATGAACAATTTTGCATTCGAGATGATGAAGAGAACGTCAAATTTCAACTTATTATAGAAATATGTACCTAGTAGAACTGGAAGAATTAATAATTCTTAAATGAAAACCTTAGTGTGCCATGGAAACATTTGAATACATTTGTTTGTATCTTTGGACAGTTAATAATTCTCAATGGTTGTGTGCGACATTCAAGAATGAATAACCGTGAAAACGATATGATAACTTCACAATTCAAGAGAAATGGGCTTATATCACAAATACTTTTTATTTCATAATTCGATAGAACTCACCCAAACTAGCTCACCACCGCAAACCGTTTCTTGCTGTGAGCTTCCTACAATTTATAAAAAATTATTGAATTCCCCGATTTTTCGGACCTCTGAAAACGAGGCGATGATGTGACGTCAAAACCCTAATACTGAAACAAGACTATTCCAGACAGAGATGAATGATCCATGATTTCTGACAGAGTGAATTAGCGCGAGATCACAGTTGAAAGAATTAATATATCAGTTGCCTCAGTCTCCGTCGGGCGTTTGGTATTTTCTTTTAACTATGGCGAGATGAGGTTTCTACGTCATAAGAGGGTCCGTTTTCAGAAGGTACTATTATTTATGTCCAAAAATAAAACATTCCAGTTAATTTTTTGATCGAATCATGTCGTCAATCATTATTTATGTATAAAAGGATCACTATAAAAATGGTTTGAGTTAAAAGTTCTACTAGGGTGTGCACGCCCATTGGATATGATACTGATTTTAATTCCAAATTTCAATTTGTCGTTTTCTTCATCATATCAAATGTAAAATACAAAGTGTGATACATCGTTGGAAAGGTAATTTTGAGTAGAAAGCAAAAATTGCAAAAAATATACAGGGTGCTATTCGAAATAAAGAAGTTAGAGTCACTTCCGGTCAAACCGGAAGTGACTTTCAATTTTCGTTTTTCTCAGTTGAAGGTTCCTTGAACGAATTGGAGATCATGAAATTTTCAAATTTGTTACTTTCGAAATGACTGAGATAATCCATTGGAACAGGTATACTGGGACACCCGGTATATCGGATGCTGAAGTTAGGAACATCAATTCGTTTTTTGATCATACAGAATTAAGCTATCGCATAATTGCAAAATTAAGTGTGATGGGCGACTGATAAATTCTCAATATTACAAAATTATACTCATTATTTTCACCGAGTAATCACAATAAGCGTCATAATTTTTTTGTCGAAAACGGTTAAAATTTACAATTAAATTTTTTGTTGAAGTTGTTCGAAATCCTCTTCTTCCTGAACACGACTGTTTTATAGGACCTATCCCACCACTATCAAAAAATATAAGTAAAACATATTACCATATGTCGTTACGAATCTGATGTAAGTTGAGTTTTTTTATCTATTGCTCGAAATGCTACTTTGGTGATAGAGTAGCTCACGCACGAGTAGCAAACAAAATGTTTTCTACGAACGTGAAAAAAAACTAGTTCTTAAGTAGTTATATGGAATATAGGAATTTCCTGTCGTGCGGTCCAAGAGATGAGAAAAATTTTGTTATTCAGAAATGAATGATTTCTTAGATGTTTGCTCGATTGAGGACCATGAAGTTAAAACATAAAAATCTCATATAGTTTACATACGATGCGCTAAGTATGTACTTCGAGCATCGTTTTACTTCGCGCACTCCTTCGGACATGGTGTCGTGGTAACGTAGCAAACTGAAAAAAGTGTTACTTCGCAATTTGTTATCAATGCGCGAACCTCGTAATTTTTTGGAAGTTTGTAGAAAAAAGTTAGTATAACTCACGTATTGGTTCCAGATCCATAGAGTGGCACTAGCTCAAGCAGTACCAAGTCTGTCCAATATTTGAAATGCGTGCTAATATCTGAAAATTTCAAAGTCAGGTTCAAAGACTGAGTGAACAGGTTGAAACTTATTGCAGAAACTTCCGTTGTACTCAGACCATATATTCCCAAATTGGACACATTGAATTTTCCACTGAAAAAAAAAATTACAAAACCAAATAAAAATGTGTTTTTCAGTTTGAATACATGTATCTATTCGTTAATTCTATAACTGTTGATTGTACTTCGTACCTACCTGATAAGACTGTTATTTGCGTAAGTTGAATTTCCAAAATCATCCCCTATAAATGGTATACGAATTGGGTCTGGTATACTCGCAATAATCTTGGTTAGTGTAGAGTTTATTATATCTTCAATAAATCCACGTACTTCAACATTTTTTGAAACTAAAACAAAACTCAAAATATAAGTTCATAAGAAAATATGTATACCTACCTTCATATTTTTCTGACTGGATAGAAGTTACACTAAAGACTATCAAACATAATGAAAAGTAACTTCGTGTTAAGGCTTTCATATCCATTCTTTGTAGATTTAAGTTGATAAAATACAGAGCACTGTCAAATTTTTCCTTCACCTTTTATTTATAAGAGTTTCCAAAATAAAAATAATCAGTTAGAGTATTGGTATTATTTTTATAGAAATATATTGATAAATCCAATATCTGATAGTTATGATAGTTTTGTTGTGATAACTGAAAATAAAAACGTCTACGACGAATATTGTCAAGTGATCTATTTCTTCACCCATTCACTTTATTTTTCACGTCACATGGAACAAAAAATAGTGGTACCCATCAACTATGCTTTTCACATATGTATACAGGGTGTCCGGAAATTATGTGCAAAAAATCTACATGATTAAATGAGAAATTCATTTAATATGTACGTGGGTCCGGAAATGCATAGTTTCCAACATACAGTGTGTTGAAACTTTTGAAAAAGATCGTTTTTTTATGAATATCTCAAATGTCCTTCCACCGATTTTCTTGAAATTCGGCAGAGATATTTTTTGTCATGAGGGGCTGATATAATTCAATTGGGAATATGAAATCCAGTGGCGTCCCGGGGGGCAACCTATACCGAATTTTTACATATCATCTATAAAAGTGAACGTTTCATATGTATGATGAATTGTATGTATATATACCTATATATCAACTTTTATGACATTTTCTATATCATTGTGAAGTGATCTATTTGGGATGAATGAAATATTTTATTGTATTGTATTGTAACCTACCCTATCTGAACTACCTTCAAACAGGATCTAGTGGTCTTTATCCCTTCGAGGGACCTGGATCGTGACATCATCATCGTGACTCATCAACCCCATGTCGTGACAATAGTTGCGTTATTGATGAAATAAACCTCTGGTGTACGCACTTCAATCCTTTCCTGTTTTACAATTCCTTGATTTTCGCCTACATCAATGTAACAATTGTGACCGAATTGTGACCAATGAAGATAGGGAATACATTTTGCGATTTAGCCGCATCAAGGTTGGTAGAACTTATGTTGATCATAAGTTCTAAGAATCACGCCATCTAACATTCGATATGTGAACCCCACGTCATCGTCTGAAATTCAATTGTTTATATCAAGAACCAGTCTGACGAAACAAATGAAGAGTGAGCGCACCAGAGGTTTATTTCATCAATGTTGCGTTGTATTTGTTTCATTCTGGTAACGGTGATGGGAACAGAATGATGCTCACAAATAAAACGGGAAACTCCATGATCTGGCTTGAGATAGTTGAAATTTTATAGATGAAAGAGGTTATATTTATGCATTGGGGCTACGGATAATTTCGAAATCATGATACTAGAGTTTGAAACTCAAGAAAATGTAACAACGCATATTATTTGTATGTACAGTGATTGTGGGGTGATTGGAGAAAGTTCTCTGAGATCAAGAGAATTCATTTCATCTGGGAATAAGCAAATAAAACCTTTCTCACTTGAAAGAATCATAAACTTGTGAATCTTACTTATAAATATGTATTTCGAATGTCTTCTTTCAGAAAGTTTCGTTTTTTGTCAATCGAATTTTATATTTTGACAACTGTCAACAGTCATTCCACGTCATTTTTTGTGGTGAGACGGAATGGAAAGTAGCAACCGGAATCGGAAAAGACGCACTTTAGAGTGATTCCGGTGGCGGAATCTGATAAATAAAACGCAACTATGATATAAAGAATATACTGCGACGAAGATATGTGTATGAATTTATTCAGCGTCAAATCAATGTTCTCTGAGTTCTAGATAAGTAATAATGAAGACTAACTATTATTTCAATGAATCAAGTAGAGCAGAAATGAAGCCACTGATGACTCTAGAAACAAATTCTTGGTAATCTTTGATGAATTCACAAAAATTGTCATTCAACATCAGGTTCACCAACGCACTGAACTCCGGGTTATTGAGAAATCCATCCATATTGAACTGAAACGAAAAACGAATTTTATGTAACTCCTCAATCAGTTGCTTCAAAACCTGGCCTTCCAGTATACCAATGTAAAAGCTCATTCATTCCAGAATATAACAAATTTGAGTTTTTACAATTAGATATAAACATTTGGGCAAAATGAAAATCAGAAATCACTTCCGGACCAACCCAAAGTGACTAAGTATTTTATTTTAAATTTACATCGCAGAAAGGCTGTTCATATGTACTTGCTTTTTCGAAACCTTCCATAGAAATTACAATAAAATGCACTTATGGGGGTTCAAAACCGTGATGAACATTTGTTTTCCCGTAAAAAATGCCCAATATGATTTCATGAGAAAATCCACCTCTTTTTATTTTCATAAAAAAATATGGCACTGTCCGAAATGATGTTTGTCTATGAGAAACTGATCATATAGATCGTTTTTCATACCAGTCCAAATTTGGCAAGAGTCGTACAATTAATAGCTGAGATATAGAGGGGGGGGGCGTTTGAAGTGAGACACGCTGTATACGTAGTTATACGGAATATTGTTGCGCTAAGAACTATGTCCAACAGATGAATTTGCGCAGAACCCAGTGGCGTACTGAACATTTTTTTTCAGGGTTTGGTTTTGGAGATACGACATACGATACAAACTTCGATGTTTTTCAATGGAACACCCAGTATTTTATTATTTTGTTGAATCCGTTATATTTTTCCTTTCTTCAAAATGATGTTTGATACTTTATACATAGGGATTCCAGGAAAGCTGAAAAATCCCTAAAACAATAAATAATGATGAATTTCTTCAAAGGGGGCAATGGATTTCCCATGTTTAACTTGAAGGAGATACTTCTGTTATTCCTTATATTATGAATTATATAAATTATTAGTCATTTGTTGTTTTTAGGTAGGTACCTACGTTTTATGAATCGCGAAAGGGAATTAGTGTAGCCTCTTTTTTCTGCTTAATCTCATGATCATGAAAATATCACAAATATGAAATTTTCAAATTACACTCTATCTAAACTGGGCGTCAATTGAAACGTTAATAGTGAAATTTGGCATCAAGTTTGACTTCTCGTAATTTCTAAAATATTGAACCAATTTTGAATTGCCGCCCAGATTCTGAATGCCTTCTTCATCGTCTTTCGAACCGTTCCTTACAGCTTCTTCTAAATTGATCAGGACCCGTGATACAGGGTGAAACAAAGTTTCGTGCATTTTGAAAAAAAATTCTCCGCCCCCCCATTTTGTCGGAAGTCCACGATGCTCATATTTTATTCGGGAATTTCATGAATAGCAACCATACTTCGGGACGTTTTCGAGTTTTGCCAAAAACTACTGTGGTTTCCGAAAAAAAAAAATTTTTGTATTTTTTTCAAATGGACTAATTTTAGAGGAGTTCCATAAATGGATGCTTTTATGCATTTCAGGAAAGCGTTGGACCAGATATGTACAGGGTGTTCATTTCAGGACTTCCCACCCTAATTTTCTCGAAATGTGTGTATGTTTTTGAAAAATCCCGAGACACGTCAACTACATTTTCGAGGGGGACATGGTTCTAAAATATTTTCAGCCCCGCGGCGTTGCCGCTTCTAACGAAAAGAAGCAACAACTTTGTTATTTAAAATAGAACACCCTGTATTTTATTGCATTTTTAGATTCTCCCTGAAAAGCTTATTTCATCAATGTATCACACTAAGGGTCTAGCAGGAATGATTACAGAGATATAGGGTGTTCAAAATCGAGATTTTACAACTTTAGGATTTTTTTGAGTCGAAACTATTCATTATTGGTCAAAACGGCTTCCATGTCCCTATCTCAACTTTTGATTTACTATCTACTGACATTTATTTGAAACAAATACAGGGTGATCAAAAGTCTGAATCTTGAACCACCCTGTATTTGTTTCAAATATATGTCAGTAGATAGTAAATCAAAAGTTGAGATAGGGACATAAAAGCCGTTTTGACCAATAATGAATAGTTTCGACTCAAAAAAATCCTAAAGCTGTAAAATCTCGATTTTGAACACCCTATATCTCTGTAATCATTCCTGCTAGACCCCAAGTGTGATACATTGATGAAATCAGCTTTTCAGGGAGAATCTAAAAATGCAATAAAATACAGGGTGTTCCATTTGAAATAACAAAGTTGTTGCTTCTTTTCGTTAGAAGCGGCAACGCCGCGGGGCTGAAAATATTTTAGAACCATGTCCCCCTCGAAAATGTAGTTGACGTGTCTCGGAATTTTTCAAAAACATACACACATTTTGAGAAAATTAGGGTGGGAAGTCCTGAAATGAACACCCTGTATACCAGGTTACTCAAAACCAATCAATAATTTATTACTTCGCAGTCTATGATAAAAGTTGTCTACCTTAGTGAGCAGTAAATCAACACATCTCATCAACAAAATCAATCAACGATACCTTGTTTCTATAACAACGTATTGTTGAAACAATGTAGGTTTGCATAGAGGTTATATCAATTGCCAATTTTCATGAAAACATCAGTGTAATTCTGGTCCTAAAGAATTTAAAGATGCCTCGTTCAAATCGGGTCGAAATGGAAAATATCATAAGGTAAGATCATTATAGTGATATAAACTATAATTCAGTACAGATAATTATTATTTCAGGTTACGACGATTAGGATATACCCAAACTCATTTAAGTACCATTTTCAATAAGTCAGTCATGACAATAAATAGACTGATTTATCGTTTTGAGGATACAAGTAATCAGGCCATTAAAAAAAAAATGCCAAAAAAAAAATTTTTTTTTTCGGAAACCACAGTAGTTTTTGGCAAAAACTCGAAAACGTCCCGAGGTATGGTTGCAATTTATAAAATGCCTGAATAAAATATGAGCATCGTGGTCTTCCGACAAAATGGGGGGGCGGAGAAATTCTTTTCAAAATGCACAAACTTTGTTTCACCCTGATTTATCGTTTTGAGGATACAAGTAATCAGGCCATTTAAAAAAAATGCAAAAAAAAATTTTTTTTTTTCGGAAACCACAGTAGTTTTTGGCAAAAACTCGAAAACGTCCCGAGGTATGGTTGCTATTTATAAAATGCCTGAATAAAATATGAGCATCGTGGTCTTCCGACAAAATGGGGGGGCGGAGAAATTCTTTTCAAAATGCACTAAACTTTGTTTCACCCTGTATCACGGGTCCTGATCAATTCAGAAGAAGTTGTAAGGAACGGTTCGAAAGACGATGAAAAAGGCATTCAGAATCTGGGCGGCAATTCAAAATTCGTTCAATATTCTAGAAATTACGAGAAGTCAAACTTAATGCCAAATTTCACTATTAACGTTTCAATTGACGCCAAGTTTATATGAAAAATCCACAGCCCATTAGCAAAATATCATAATAATTTATTATTTCAGTGTTTTTTAGCATTCCTGGACATCCTATGTATGAAGTAGATATTTTATATCACTTTGAATGAAGAAAATAACGAATTTACCGAGATAATGAAATACAGGTATGTAAAAAAATTTTTTTTTTTTTTAGATATAGGGGTCCAGAAAGTATGAATTTTCAAACCAGCCCCAGTTTTACAAAATCTTATTCGGCCATCATAATCGTCCTCATTGAGAAAATGAGAAACTAGTTGGTTAATAACTATAAAGATATTATCATCAAAATTTCTAATTTTTAGTGACAGTGATATAAGGCATTTGCACCAGTTTTCAAAAACACTTCGTTTCGACCTGTGAATACGGAATACGGCATGAAAAGTAAATTTTTTTCTGCGGCTCTATAAATACAAGAGCAGATAGCAATTGTGGCAGAACATATTCCTATCAACATTTTGAGCAATTGTTACGTTGAAAATGAATTGAGTTTTAAAATTACATTTCAAGATTTTTACAAAGGACTAAAATTTGACCAGTTCACTGGATTCCTCTTTGGACCAGCTATACAATGAAGGGTCAAAAGCCATAGGGTTGCATTTGATAAAAACATGTTGAGGGTGGTTTCAGCCTGAAAGGATAGTTTCGATTTTCGTATGTCGGGAGTAGAAAAAATATTCTTCTCCCCGCTAACGAATTCACTCCAGTTAAATTCTCCACACCGTATTATATCAACTCACCACTGCATGATCAATCCAGAGATTTGCGGTTATATTATGTAATTGCTTTCCCAGCACATCAACTTTACCGGAGGCGTTTACAGTAATTCCTTCGAAGAATATGCTGGAAAATAGAAGTTCAATTATTAGTTGACACAAAATTATTATGTATGTACAGGGTGGCTGGAATTCGAGCCTCATCTTGCAATCTCGTAAACCCATTAGGGTCGGATAAATAATGATAAAGTTGTGCAATGTTTTGCCTGACAAAATGCTGTTTTGAAATTTGAAAAATTCACAATACTTCCAAATATTTTTGGAACAAACCGAATATTAGCGATTTTATCTTTATTTTTTTTATGACCCAGTCATGGGATGGGATGAACGGGATTGGGATACTTCTAGAGTTCTTTTTATTCCCAAGTATAGGAAGGGACTTGATAAGGTTTTCGAAGACTCAGGTTTTGAAAGCGTTCATCCCAGTCTGGGTCATAACTATCTAGGCAATTTATCAGGCAATCCGAAAGATGAAGTGGTCACACTTGAAAAGTCGGGAATATACGAAATAAGTTGTAATGATTGTGATAAAACACATTTAGGCCAAACCAGGCGACCCATAAAAACAAGGTTCAAAGAACACATAGCACATTCTAAATATGGCAGGTTAGATTAATCGTGTGTATCCGAGCATATGTTCAATCACAATCATAACACACATATTACTAACCTCAAATTAGTTGAGCAAGTTCATAATATTAGAAAATTAGACGCATATGAAAGCTTAGAGATATTTAAGAATAGTAATAGAGTAATGAATAAGGATAATGGACCTATTCCATTTAACCCTCTATATAATTTAATAATATAAAAATTAAGATTAACATGTGAACTCAACCATGACAAACTTTAACTTGACGGTCAGTATTTTTCACGCTTGGGTGAACATATACCTAGTATATAATCAGCACACTAGAATATGATATCTTCTCCTGAAGATGCTAACATAGTTAGCGAAACACGTGTGAGGAGTTTGAAAAATCGGTTTGATTAGTGGTAAAAAAGTGTAGTGTATTATCGTGCCAAAGGTTCCAGTCTTCGATATATCATTGGAATTTTCCATAAGAACTCATCTGTTAGAGAGAGAAAGAGAATAGATTTTCAATAAAAAAATACCTTTTTCGAACCAGTGCGATTTACTGTTGATTTCAGGACATTGAAAGCTGTCAAAATCCATAAAACATTCAGGCTAGTTTTTTAAGAAACAAAGTTCATGATGGCGGCATGAAGATGCAACCTCAGATAAAAAATTTGATACCACCATCTTGTAGAACAGAAAAATTAGCAATGAGAATGTGTAATTTGTTTTGTTACTTCTATATCAAAATAGAATCATAAAAAAATTGAAATTATAACGCGATTATACGGTTTTTTTACAAAAATCTTTGAAAGCAGTCGGAATTTCTTCAATTTCAAAACGGAAGTCTCCTCGACATAAAATTGCGTAATTTTGCTATAATTCAACCGACCCTATATGAACCTCTTATGGTTCACGAGATTTCAATGATGAGGCTCGAATTCCATCAGGCACCCTGTACAAAAAGATTTAATCCATAAATTCAAATTATCACCTATTATATCCCAAGGCATCGAACATTAACTTGTCTGAGAGGTGATGTTCGATGCTCAAGGGTAATAATAATCATTCTTCAATCAGGTTTTCAGAAACTTAAAACACCCTGTATACTAAATTGGATCGAAATGATGAAACGATGAAATTACTCGTATCAGATCACATGCAAGTTCAGATTGTGAAATTTCAAGTACCTACCTATCTTATTTTTCCAAGATTTTATCTTTGTTCAATATTATGAATAGCTCATATCCGAAAGTGATAAGAACAAACAATTGGTTCGAGAAGTTTGAGTTCGATATCATATTTTGATCTCTCGTTTATCGAATTCAATCATATAAGAATTAAAAATGTATCTAGTTTCGCAATTGATAGAATTTGTTTTCAATTTTTTATTTGAATCAGCTAGAGGAATCGATTGTTATTGTTGGATGTTGGCACATCTATCTCCATATACTGGGTGTTTCAAAACAACCTGACCCCCTTGCTAGGATAGATAGAACACTGCAAAATAAGTTGGGTTTGCTCAGAAAAAAAATGTCGTAACAGCATCCGTTTTCAAAATACAAGGTCGCAGAGAATAACATGAAGTTATAATCATGTTGTAGCCATCTAGTGGCAAAGCTCTAAGGTAGGATACAGAAATCGCGACACACACTGTATGGCGCTACCATCTATAGTCACACGTACAGACCCCTACGTCTATACGCTACTACAAGTAAACCACTCTGCTGACAGATGGCACTACCTGACATACTTGAGTGGAATTTTTCCTCCACCTACTCAACTGCTAGATCTCATAACTAAGAGATCCAGGATGAACAGAGTTGCCCCAATTGTCAGCAGACCGAGAGCGGCTGATGAGACCTGGTGGGTCTAAACAGTACTGTCTCGCTCCTTCAGGTTGGGAAAGTAAGATATATAAAAGTTAAGCAAGCCAACGTTAGTTTATTTCATTGTACCAGTATATCACCTGACGAAGCTACTGTGTTAGCGAAACATGTCGTGTGTTTGAGAATTTTGTGGAAATCTTATCGTTTGTGAAGTTTTTACATTTGTCATGGATTTCCATCAAGTAACGGCCGAGCCAATTCAAAATTTGAAAAATTCAACCTCAAAAAAGTTTTAAACATAACTCTTCGGTACGAACCGTGTAACTAGCGCCCTCTATGAGAGTCAGATTCAAAAACAACTTCATGCGATGTGTCAGCTTTAAGGACACATCCATACAGAATTTCATCACAATGTTGCCATAACCGTAAAATATGTGTAAAAAATTATTTTTCCAACACCTTGTATCTTGAAAACGGATGCCGTTACAACATTTTTTTGATGAGCAAACCCAACTGATTTTGTAGTATTTTACCTTCCCTAGCAAGAAGATCAGGTTTTCTTGAAACACCCTGTATAAGAAGTGGTAATCAAAACATTTTGAGAACTTTCCCAACTACCGTAAAGAGATGAACACACTCTGAGAAAAACTTACAAATCTTAATTTTTAATCCTAATAATAATTGATAAAACTTCAACTTTCTTACGAAAACTAAATCCATTCTTGTACGTATATACAATCAACTCAATCAATTAATCAGAAGTGTACTTTATTGTCGAAGATATAGATCCGATTGACATAATGGCCATGTTTATACCGTATGGATAGTTGGTTTGCTTACCAAGGAGGTCTAACTAAATTCAGACCAAATTCCTTAGTTAACGCATGTTTACACCATGTATCTTCAATGTTACCAACTTTGTTTTGATTTGATTATTTTTTTGATGTTCGGTTGTGGAACTCCACTTGAATTCGTAAATTGAGAATTAAACCTTTTAGTATGATACGAAATTAGTTGAAATTGAATGAAATCTGATTATGTGAAATAACTGCCATTTTCACTCAAGTCAAGTCAAGGCTAAACAAAAGTAGACCGAAATGTTTACACCGTCTTGGTCATCATAACAACAAAAAATTTCGGTACCAAACCAAGCTGGTAACTTCACCAAGTATACAGTTTTTACCACACTGACCAAGAGTACCTATTTAGTCAAAATATAGTCATTAGCGGAATACTAACCTGTTGAGTCCTGAACCATAAAGTGGAACTACACCTCCAACTAAAGTGTCAAGCCAATATTTGAAACTGATGTCCAAATTTGGAATATTCACGCTCATATTGAAAACTTCACTAAATATTTGGACATCTATATAGGGAGCTACTATTTCATGTATCCCATTGATTCGTAATTTTGTGATATTCAAGCCACCACTGAAATAAAAACAAATGACACCTGAAATATACAGGTAACGTGACACATTGTATTGGGGCATCAGGTAGGTAAGTAATCATAATTATCTGGGGTGAAAAAAAACATGAGAAAGGAGGAATACAGTTACCTCTTCTATGAAAAAGTATAATATTGTGGACATGGGCATGTAAAGTTTTGCTATTTGGAATCCGAATAAGCCCGAACCGAAAGCATACGCCCAATATAAACATAGCAGTGAGGTTTGGTGAAAAACTGAAGAATTGAAAAGTCCGCAACTTTCCTTCCCTTACTGATTACTCAGCTCAATGGCTTCACTGACTTGAATGAAACTTCAAATAGTTAATAAAAACTCTAAAGGTAATAATATATTTCAATAATTCAATTGAGATCTATACAAAAGCTGCTTCATTCAAGATAATTGTTGAAAGAATAAGTGGACTTCAGGTTACTGAGGAGGGTTTGATATCCGAAATGAGTTTATTCGAATAAAGTCATATAAACTGTTTGTGAGAGACATAATTCCCATATCACTGATACTAATTATTCATTGGAAGTTTCAAGCTCATCAAGATCAGTGCTTATAAAAGTATACTTCTCCTATACATTTCAATTTTCATTTGATTACTATACATATTGGTGAGTTGTATTTTTATGTCATAATACATCATATCATTTATGCGATTTGAGAGAGAATGTCAATGCTCAATTTCAGACGATTTTTATTTTTCATGCTCTCCTTTTGGATGTTCAACAAATATAATGAAATTTTCGACGTGGCAAATAGCCAGGAAAGTAGTTGTTTTTTGTTGGATATTCTGAATGATATTATGTACATATACATATTTGTATCAGTAGGAGAATGCAAATTTTCAACTCCAGAAGATTTTGTTTTCAAATTCTTATCGTGTCTCTTCAGTAGATATAATTTTAATGTTTGTCGTGGCATATAGCATTATAGCAGGAAAGTAGTTGTTTTCTGTTTTGAAGGAACCGAGAAAGAACGAAAGTCAATTTGACACTTCTGTCGTCATGAATTAATTGATTTGTATATTGTGTAACTCCATTCGAAAGTTTTGATTAGAACATGAAGAAGCGTATGATATCATTAGAATTCAAAAAGGATAATATTGCTATTTTTGTTTTATAATAGTGATAAAGACACTGATTACTTGGATTGCACAGATTTTATACAGGTATAGTGACGCCAAAGGATGCATGCTGAGGCCATCTTATTTCACCTTCCACAGGAGTTGATATGTTTTTCCTCTCGTGGGAGTAAACTGACAACTTTGTTTCCTTAAATGAAGAAGCATACTTTCGATTCAGTGAGTAGATAAAATATGTTAGCGCTCATTGATGTATAGTTCATGCAAAGTCAGTTCAACAGATCATCAAATGAATGTCGGGCCGCGCTGCCGCACTCTTTGAACTTTCAAAGGGACCGACGGCTTGCGGTGATGTGTTCTTTCCAACTGACTTTGCATAAACTTTAACAACCCGTAAAGAGTTAGCTTGTTGTAAATAACAAAAGTTTTGGTCGAATACACCTTGACATAACCCATCTGCTTTTTCCTCGTATTCCCTAATTCATTTGATTGCCAAAAGAGCTATATTTTATGTGCTTGATGATGCGCAATTTGGGAGACTTTGTGATAGCGATGTGCAATAATAATATCATTAGAACAGTTGATGAATGATATCACATACGAAATAATCTATGGGCGAATAGTGAAAGATTTCATGAAACATATAAAACTTGTTGGTACTTACGACAGAAGACTGTTATTCTCGAAGTTCATAGATAATTCGTTGATTGTCAAAGGGTCCGACGAATTTCTGATCAATGCGTTCAAAGTATCGTTGATTATATCTGCAATCGCTGCTCTCACTTGATAATCTACATTTTGTTCTGAAAGAAATTCCACTCATGAATTATAATTTCGATGCAGGTTCAACGTTTTCTCAGGATTTTCTATTCAAATGTATGTCATTAATAAATCGGACCTATATAAGGAATTTGAATATCTTCTTAACGCTATCAAAAAACACATCTTCCCATTCGATAAAATAGAATAAATCCCATAGGAGGAAAGTCACATATGACGGCATAGTTCCTGTGACGACACACTATTCAAGTTTCGTAGTGTATCTTTTGTTACCTGTATTTCTATATCGCCTGCCTGTTCAAATCATCTTCGTCAATGTTATGAAGAATGCCGAAGGGGGTACAATGTTTTTTAACAGAATTGTGGTGTGAACATGGCTGAGGTGAGTGTCGATGTAATTAATGAAAAAATTCAATTTTCTCTACACATTTTCCAATTTTAGTTCAAGAAGCGTCAAGGTAATTTCAAAAAGTATCAATAGTATTTCAAATCAGACATTTTGATTTCGAAAGTATCAAAATTATCATTCCAATTTCAAAATACGTCAATTGTATTTCAAATTAGTCATTTTGATTTTGAAAAAAAAATTATTTTATTTCAATTTCAAAATCCATCATTTCAATTTCAGAAATAATAATATCTATTGATGATGCCATAATGACAGGAACCAGAAGCCAGAAGCGTCCCAATAACATAGTGAATGAAAATATCACCTAAACTTTGCCTGTGCTTCTTCAGTTTGGAAATTCAAATGATGCATTCTAAAATACATTTGATATTTTTTCAAATACAAATCACTATCTTGGATTCAGAAGTGTTAGTTTTTGAAATTAATATGAAAATGTTGGAATACAATTGATGTTTTTTTAAATTAAAATGACTAATTTAAAATACCATCGACGCATTTTGAAATTGAATTGATAATTTTGAATACATTTGATACTTTTCGAAATTGAATTGACTTATTTGATATACAAATGATGCTTTCAAAAATCAAATAAACAAATTCAATATTACAGTTACACTTTGTATATAAAATCCTAAATTATTTTTGTTTGTGATATCAAAAATAAAAAACGATATAATAGTTGCAGTCAGAAGGTAATCTTGATTCACAAATTTAAAAAAAATGTGATTCCACCCATCGCATTTTTTATTGAAAACTCAAAAGTTGGTGCCGTTTCCAGATAATGAACCGAAAGATGAAAATACTACTAATAATAATAATATCGTCTTTATTATTTTCATACATAAAATAAACATCAATCTTATCTTATAAATACTATAACTGGAAATAAAGTGCGAAGTTCATTTCCTTTTAATCGTTTTTCTTGAAAGATTTATCAATTCTTCTAAGATTATGGTGGTAGGGGAAGCAAAAAATACATCTCTTTATTTGAGAATGAAGTTGACGATGGCCACGATATGTGAAAAGTTCGAATCCAAAAATTAAGAGTGTAATTTCGTATAGGTAGTTCTAGAAATGTGCCATTCAAGAAAAGGTTTCAGTTTCTATTATTGAAGCAAACGAATGTCGACAATAATGATTTTCGTTTTCCCAAATATCTCGGCAAGGGGAAGTGTTGTCGTGGATTCCCTTTCAATTCAGTGAATATCATAAAATTCCGAAATTTCATCCCAACCTTTTTGTGCCATCATGATAAGGGTTGATTTCAAATTACCCTGTATATATTTTTATATATACGCAAGTATACATACATTTATTATTTCATTTTAATATATTTCTGTGCCCTCTGATGAGATTTAGAACTTCTGGTGCACATAGGCTCCTTGTCATTGAAGTGTTTGTGAAAAGAATCCCTAATAATAATTGCACAAAATGGGTATGTATGCATACAGGGGTGAGTCATGACTAACCAGCCATAGCCTAATGGCGGATAGCGGAGGTCAAGGTGAGTTAATATATATGTGAAAAAATATTTTTTGCCTATTCTTCACAGAAATACAGGGCATTATTTGAATTCGGGGCAAAACTTCGATGAACGATATTTCAGGAACGTCTCGATGTTATCGGCTGAAATTCACTAACAACTTACCTCTTATGACACTCCACAAGATGACGTACTATGAATAAAAAATTCCAGATCCGGACTTGGAAAACTCATTTTCTCTTTAGATGTCAGAATTTTGACCTACTGGATCGGACTTTTCGGAAACTATTATCAGAATCAGGAAGAACAGGAAAAATACTACAATAATGACTTCTCAATTCGTACGGCACACTTCGATCGTTTTGGTAAAAAAATATCAAACAAAATACCGATGAATTTTTCTTCGATTTCGTCCGGGCATATCACTCTCTAAATTCGACTAAAAGTAATTATATCAATTTTTTTCCTAGAATGATTCAACTGCAGACTTGAGAAAAGGTATAATTCAATAAAAAATCCAGTGCCGGACTTGATTTTGGATAATAACAATTATAATTTCCGAAAAAGATTTTTCTAGATCTTAATATTAATCAAGATTCTCGAAATGTCCTCCAATTTCTATACATTTTCTGCATCTTTTCGGGAGATCCCGTATATGGCTTTCCAATAATTTGCCTATTATTTCTGATTATATCTGCAGCTGTAACTATTCTCTCCCAATTTTCAATTGAAATCTAACTTCTACTTGTGATAATGTGAAAACATTGTATTCAATAAGAACAATTGTTGCTTTGGAGCAGATCATTTTTCGAATCAGATATACGTGCCAACTTATACTAGATGGAGGGATTTTGATTCGAAGTAATACTGAATATATGATCACATTTCTTGTGACCTCTCCCAATCAGCAAATCAAATTGTGAGTTTAGTAGTTCATCGATTTTGAATACACATGAAAAGAAGGCTGTGATATTGTAGTGTATGTCATTGACCCGATTTTTGACGGTTGTTGAAACTGTCAAATGTCGTGGCGGCCCTCATTCTTGGCCTCCTAGGTCCCCTGATCTCACAGTTTCGGACTATTTTCTTTGGGGGCATATGAAACAATTGATCTATCAGACTGAAGTCAACACCAGAGACGAACTGAGGGAAAATATAGTAACAGCTGCAGATATAATCAGAAATAATAGGCAAATCATTGGAAAAGCCATGAGAGGCCTCCCGAAGTGATGCAGAAAATGTTTAGAAATTGAAGGAGGACATTTTGAGAATCTTGATTAATATTAAGATTCTGACAAATTTTTTTCGAAAATTATGATTGTTTTTTTACAAAATCAAGGCCGGTCCTGAATTTTTTATTGAATTATATCTTTTCTCAAGTGTGCTGTTGAATCTTTCAAGGGAAAAATTTGATCTGATTTCTTTTATTCGAATGTAGAGAGTGATATGCCCGGACGAAATCGAAGAAAAATTCATCGGTATTTTGTTTGATATTTTTTTACCAAAACGATCGAAGTGTGCCGTACGAATTGAAAAGCCATACTTGTAGTATTTTTCCTGATCTTTCTGATTCTGTAAAAGTTTTCGAAAAATCCGATCCAGAACGTCAAAATTTTGACATCTAAAGAGAAAATGAATTTTCCAAGTCCGGATCTGGAATTTTTCATTCATAGTACGTCATCTTGTGGAGTGTTATAAGAGGTTAGTTGCTAGTGAATTTCAGCCGATAAGATCGAGACGTTCCTGAAATATCGTTCATTGGAGTTTTGCCCCAAATTCAAATAATGCCCTGTATTTCTGTAAAGAATAGGCAAAAAATATTTTATTATATATATATCAACTCACCTTGACCTCGTCTATCCGCCATTGGGCTATGGCTGGTTGGTCATGACTCACCCTGTATATATCGTGTGTAGTGTGTAAGTGCCCGAGCAATATCCATTGTTATTAACACCCAAGGGCCATAAAAGCAAGTTACGCCCAAAATACAAGCCTACAACATTTTATAAAAGACCGGTATATTTGATTCTTTATTAGGAATACCTCTTTACCTCTCAAGAATGATAGAAATTGCGGATTTCTATCGGATATTATTGGTGGAACCAATGTTACCATGGTTGATTTTTTAGAAATAGGAGTAGACTATTTTATTTGCTGTCAATTAATGTCATCACTGATAACTTATTTTGGGTTCCATCATATAATTCAGCATCTTAAAAAATCAAGAAAACTGTCATATTTGATAATGGAGCATCACAACTAAAACATAAATGTCCCGAATTATACTGGAAATTATACGCCGGGCGGTGGAGTGATCCGCGAGCGGTAAAGTGTCACTTTACGCCAACAAAATCGGGCAGTAAAATGATACTTTACGGCCTGGTCGTGCATAAATAAAATTTAAGAAAAATCGAATGTCATAGAAAATAAGTAAGTACATGTTTTTGTTACCTTCATTTTCAGTAAAGGCGAATACTAGTCCTGCTAACGAAAGTGAAAATATTACCAACAGTTTAATCATTTCGCTTTTGTCAAGTTATAGTTGTAGATTTTCACTATACACAATGTTTCATAAAGAATGATTTATCGTGATATATGCACACATTTTTTAGAGCACTCCAGTTACAGATTATTAGAAAAATCAGATAACAGGTCAGGACCAACCCAACTGAAAAAATTAAAAATGTAAATCTGATTACAAGCGATGAGTTCGAACAGATGTTGATACAACAGTTATTCAATTGGGGCATCCTGTATTTGGCACTCGTAATCTTAACATAATCGTATATAATAAAAAAAGTGTATTGGTGATTATCGAAATAAAGTACAAATCCCTTCGATTTTTAGAAACTAATTATGTGGCCTTGAAGAGTAAGGATTGTCGGTAATAATCTATAAAACGAGTTATATTTGCTATGATTTTTTCACTCATTATTTCATGAATAAAACAATAATTTCATATCATATTTTCATTCGCAGTCGGTGCGTTATGTAATTATTTTACGTCTCGTCAGAGGTCGGACATTTTATGTATTACTTTTAGCTTCCGCACCGCTCTCCTCTCGCAATATTTGATACGTCCTGTTTGTAGACGCTAGACGCTAGTGTCACAGCTAGTGTCAAGTTGTAAAAATAACTGTGGATAGAGGTCAAATTAAGGTTAGCGATGGCACTCGACTCGGATTCAAGAGGTTAGGAGGTTGATGTTGATATAAGAAATGTTTCTCTCTAGAATGCGATCATACAAAGTTGGTCTCAAATTCTTCGATACAATCAAAATTCAGTGTCTATGACGATTTTGTCTGAAGTTTAGTGTTGACTGCTGTTGATCACTGAATATGAAAATATTATGACATCCAAATGACATCCATGTCCATGACATATTTACGTAGCAGCCAATCTACTCCAGAAACACAGAAAACATCATGTACCTATTCGATCATCAACACAGATATACTTTTCGGAAGATTACCTGCGAACAAAAAACAATTCCCACGGCTCGCTGCACCGTTCGCTTACTAGAAATAGTTATTCATGATACAAGGGGAAAAAAGTAGTAGATTTTAGCTCCAGGTTGTGTTGTCTCCCGAAGCGTTTCGCCAATTTTCAGAGACATCATGTACGCGCGAGAATTGGCATATAGGATAGATTATCTTCTGTAGTCTATGATATAGGGATATATAATAACGCAGATATAATATATGGCCCTGGATCAAATGACATGTTATCGTTGCGGTTGTTTATAGACCTGAGCCCCACCGGTGTAGATAGCAATGATAGCATTGACAGCAATGAGGTTATGTCTCGGAGATTATGACAAAATGATAAATACCGAAACCTAAACAATTATTATTTCTCATGGGACAAAATTTTAACTCTAACGAAAATAAATGTCTTGGAGTATATATATAGTGTTGTTGAATTGTCACATGACTAAACGATACTTCTGTAATATTTTTATATTACTCTCAATATTAGTGTGTGGCACTTACTTGGAAGTACAATAACATTTCGCGGTTTAAAAGGTCCGCTATTTTTATCTTTTGTTCTGTGATTTCCATAATTCTTCAGTGTTCAAGTCTCCTTATAGTCTTGAGAATGTTCACGGTTTCTAACGAGTCCATCTGTTCATAAACTGCCATATACGCAATGATACATCCTGTATAGATAATTTTTGTTTTATTTATATAATGAATTATCTTTTCTGTCAATTCAATTGAATATTTCGATCCAATCCACTCATTGAAGATTGAAGATAATATGGTATGATATTTGTATAGAAAATGGATCAGTAGGTATAGTTATAAGAAGTTCCACATCATTCGGTGAACAAATATTTTTTCAGCTTCAAAATGAAATTGATTAGTTTCCTATTTTACGTCTTTTACGTCATATCTTCTTTGGATGGTGAGTACTATAAGCATCATCATCACAGTAAAAATAATTAGTGTCATTATACAATTTTTGTATACGAGAATATGGAGAATACAAACAATGATTGATCCTCGATCGTTTTCTGCACGCATTTCGTTTGCGAAAGTTGCAGTTTCTCGCACTAGTGTGGGAAAGTAAATTTCCCTGCACTCCTGAGCGAACATAAATATTGGCTAATTCATGATTGTATCAATATATGTATATTTCATATCATATTGTTTATACAATATTGAATATCAAGTGAATCAATCTGGGAAATGTGTGAAGAAGTTCACTGCGCTTTCGAACTTTTTTTTATGGAAATATCTATACCAATATTCTCAAGAAATCAGAGTAATAAATGTTGTAGCTAGTATTGAGGATCAGGTGAAAAAAGCCATACAAGATATCAAGGATAAAATACCTGAACCAATCAGCATTAGTAACTCAACCATCACTATTCCAGAAAACAACATAATTTCGTGAGTATCATTGTGTAATATAGTATAGATTAAATCGAATACATTAAAGCTCTAAACAGCCCTAAGAAAATACAAGTTTATTCTCTTTCGTCGCATCTGTTGATTTTTTTCAAATATCAAAATCTAATGTTTTTATGATTTCACACTTGTTTAGATATTGAACTGTCAAAATCAATTTGATTGTGATATCAGATACAGAAATGAAATTGATGACATAAAAAGTACTCTGGTGATCGAGATCTGATTTTTTTAACGAGGCATAGCCGAGTTAAAAAAGTAGTCGAGATGACCAAAGTATTTCGCTATCGAGTTGCAAACAAAATTTTTTTTACATACGTCAGAGAAATGTAGTTCTTAAGTGAAAATATGCTCAGCATGATATAAATAATAGTGTTGAACTGGCTTAAAAAGTATTTCCCTATCCTCCCTAGGTACGCACAATGTTCCACGAACATAATAGGAATTCCCTTTCGTGCGCTCCAAGAGATGAAACAAAGTTATTGTTGAACATTCAGAAATGGTGATTTCGTGGATGTTTGCTCGATTGAGGACCATGAAGTTGAAATATGAATATCTCATATATTTTACATAACAATGCGCAAAGTAGGTACTTCGCGCACTGTTTTACTTCGCGCAAGGTATCATGGTAACGTAGGAAACTGAAAAAAAATGTCACTTCGCAATTTGTTATCAATGCGTGAACCTTGTCATTTCTTGACGTTTGTAAAAAAAAATATTTTAGCTACTACAAGTTGTTCTTCAAATGTTTATCAGATAATTTTCTATTGTCACCACTCAAACTTGTTTATTTCAGGCGAAAACATTCAAACAAACCGAATCAGATTGGTTATTCTAATCGTTTCAAACAGAAGGAATATCTGACAACTTTTTGATTAAAGTAAACTGAAATAATACGTATTATCTGTGGTATTATCAGGAATATCCGACAACTTTTGGATTAATGTAAACTGGCATAATGTCACATATATCTTAATAAATCTATTGTGAGTGATAAATACGATTCATCATAACCCCAGACAGCACAGAATGGTCTTGATAGTCTTGGTCTTGGATCAAAATGCGTCTAGAAATTTGAATTATTCAATTCAAATATCCAACAGTTTGAACAGTTTATATGCATATAATAGGTATTTGGTATTTCTTAGTCTTTAAAATTGGCAATTTGTGCGTATAAAGTATAGGCGAAATGAATTTCTCTTTTTACCATAAGAATATAATTTTTAAGAAACCTCAAATAAACATCAAATGAGACCCAACCAGCAAACAGGCCGACGCCCGACAGGCCAGATAAAAGGTTCAGAAGGGTCGGAGCTGACAACGCATTATCAAAATATTTCAAAAAATTTCAAATTCAAACGAAATAACTTTCGTATTGAATTTGTTTCTATCTTCAATAGAAGGAGGTATGGACCACTGTGACCTTACAACATACACCTATTTGTTTTAAACTTCAAAAATGCAACACTGGATTTGAAAAATGTATTTCGGATTTTGAGTGAACGAACATTAAGAACCTACCATATGACAAATGAATAACTGAAATAAAATGCCATTACATTTTCCATCAGATCTTGTATCAAGACCAAGACAAGACCAACTCTTGGTCTCGCGAAGCCCTATATCCCAGTATGTTGACTCCAGGTTTCAGGATTTCAAAGCGAGAGAAATGGTTTTCCAAATGATATGTGACAATATGTCAGTTTATATTAATCTAAAAGTTGTCAGATTTTCCTTCTGTTCATTTTACTTATTAAAGCCTATATATAGTTCGAGAAAGGTTTCATCACAATATATATTTGTATTCATTTCAATGTCACCCATATGGTAGGAGGTAATAATTCAGTGAGAAATTCAAGAAGTTTTAAATAAATGAATAATTCTCTAATGAACAAAATAACATTTTTATGTACATTTTAGCGGGACCTTAAATCTCTCGAACTTTGTTGTAACTGGGTTGAAAGCAATGGAACTATCTGTAAAGTACTCATTTCTTACACTACCAGAAGGATTCTCATTTGAATTGGAGAACCTTCAAATGCACACTGGATATCAAATGAATATTCCTTTATTCAATATATCGCTCCTGACCTTCTTCGGCACAGGTAATCTAAGGTAAATGAGAGGAAGATTATCGAAAACGAACTGGTGTTGGAATTATTTATGATTAGCAATGAGTTTACTGATCAATAATAGCAGTAACACATTTTCAGAAACCATTTCCCCTTTTCTACATTGCCAACCCAATAAACACACTGAACATTACAATGAAGTGGTAATAAATATTTACTACACAAGTATCGAAGACATTCACATTACAATGTGAGACCGGAAATTTTAAAACCCATACATAACCGTAATATTAATTTATGGTAATTGGTGGTAGTAGGTAAAATATGTAATTATTAATTATACGGTCGGTTGGAATGACGTTTCACAGAAACGTCAAATTTAAATCAATGTATGAAAATATCGCTGATTTATACGTTGCATTTAACCATCAGTGCACTAGCGTTTCGTCAAATTACTATTTTAAACCTGTGAAAACGACCTGGTACTACAAGTTAATTTGATATGAGAATTGAGTAGGTATATTCAATATTGAACATTTATTCGCCAATTTTCAGAATTACATCGAAGTCAATTAACCACACTTTATTGAAGTATGTTTAATCGTTTCATCCTCTACTTTTCGTTTCACGTTTTATTCAGTTTATTCTCAACCTCATTCTCAACTCCATTTTCAGTGTTTCGAATCCATGAACTTTCCAATGTAACTTCAACCTATACACCAAAGATTACAGAATTCAATAAGGATATATTTTCTAGGCTTCGTCTTTATTTTCTCTTCGATCTGCTAGTACATCGGCTATTTGTAATATTTTGTATCTGAAGTTTTGTAGCGAGCGACGGCGAGATTAAAATGTTTTTACGCCGGCAGGAGTAGAAGTTAGTTTCTCTGGTAACAAAAGAGGGGCAGAAGTCCCTAGGGAGATAATGTGACATATTTTCTTCCTAGGGAGTTTATACAAACATTTTCCGCATAGCTCTGCGCTTGCTCTTCGGAATACTCTTCTCTGAAGCGAGTATAAGCTGCATCATAAAGATTTCTAGATCTCACTGGAAGCAAGTTAAGAATCAATGCAGAAGCAGTATCTTAGGGTTTTCCCTCGATTTCTTGTTCCATAACCGTTAACCATTTTCAAAGCTGTTTTCATAAATTTCAGTTTGATATTTGCTGTCGCCATGGGTTGTCAACAAGATGCACGTTGTCAAGATATGAATTCCACAAACTATACTACTACTAATTATGACAAAACACTTTGACCAAATTTTTATTCTTTCTTAATTTTTGTGTTTTCGCCAGCGTAAAAAATAGTATATACAGGCCACAATGCTATTTCTCCATCGGAAAAACTCTTGCATTCCTGTTTCTTGATGAATAATGTAGGTATACTATTTTATTCTATGCACGTTGACGAAATACGTTGTTGGAAAAGCAACTTATTTACGTATATACCTTCCCACAGAAGTTATTGATGTAAGGACGAAAACAAATACTAGAAGAAACGTTGAACTATACGTTTGATGAACTTGTAGTAGTAATATTGGAATGATATAATGATAAATTAACTTGTATTGTAAATGTTCAGAAAGCTAGCAAGTATAACATTGTTTCAAATAGATATTCAACGAATTGTGAAATAACGTTGAATATATGTTATTGAAGTGAACGTTGAATCGATGTTTGTATAATAGGAGAAAAACGTTGAACTCAAAGTCGGACAACCACAATATTTAATTTTAAAACAATCAGCGTGTGAGACTATATAGTTATGACTCTACGGCCATCTTCACACACACACTGCAAAAGAAAGTATCTTTTATGTAGAAAAAATGTTTATAAATTTGAAAAATTATACTATACTAAACCACCTAGAGGATGGATGGTTTCCATGGCTCGTCAATGTTTTTTTTTTCAATTGACTCGACCGTCAATTGATGGGAATCCATGGCGAATGTGAAAATTTCACAAACAATAAGATTTCCTCAAACTCCCAATCACACGTCATGTTTCGCTAACACAATAGTTAGAATATTCAACATATGCCAACCATATATTAGAAGAAAACCATAGTTTTGATGATAATTTCGTTGATTAGGCGTTTTTGAATGAGATACGATTCCCTATTCACCTTTATTCAACGAAATCATGTTTGAGAGTGTATTCATATTTCATTGTTCATTGTACATCTGGCATCGACGCCTTGTATACATTGCTGTGCCATGCCCTGGGTGTGTAAAACTCGATGTCTCAGCTCTATTTCAAGAGAAGGAGAGATAAAAAATCTGAAAATTTGTTTAAAACACGTATCATCAAAAATTGCATTCATCACGATTCAGGCAAGTAGCCATTGGAAAATATCATTGTGGTGTCATGTGGCTGAAAAATGTTTATGCACAATGAAAAAGTCGACATGTTATTTGTTTATGACGTACTGAAAACGTTAATTTCTAGACGTACTGCAGGGTACGTACGATTTCGATGTACTGGGTACGGTCAACTCTGGACGATTTTTTGTGGATAGAATATTGAAATCATTGCTTAGAATTTCTGTCGTCGATCCCTGTTATATATGTGCGGTAGGAATAACCTTGCAAACATGAATATAATACAATTCTCACAATTCATTTCATGCTGGCCATGATCTGACCGTCAAATTACTTATATGAAAGTATCAATGAGATGCGTCATTAGATAGAGCATCTGCCCGGTAATATTAAGGTCGCGGGTTCGGTTATCGCGGGAGTAGCGTATTTTTTATATTTTTATTCAAAATAAGATTTTTTCCAAGGCGGATCTACGTTAATTCAGGTATTCATGGACCTAAAATTAACGTACTGGGGATGTACGAATAGGCGGAATCTGGACGTCCCCAGTACGTACGAAACGTCTTGGCCGGATGTTCTCAATACGATTTGTGGATGTACTCGCTGTTTGGACTGTTATTCCGAGTATTTATCATTTAACATCAAGATGTTGTTTCAGTTAGTGAGAATAACATTTCAATATTCAGATTTGGAATTATAATTATTTCATTTCAACGTTCAATAGTATTTGAGCATCAGAGGGGAGTAATAAGGAAAGAGAACGTTCAAATAACGTGTTGAATACTTGGTTGTTTTCAGGTGATATTCAACGCAAAAGTTTTTTACCAGTAACATTGTTCCACCGTTATTAAACGTTCGTAAAAATAATGTGTGTTTATTGGGTAGGTATTCAGGGTTAGTTATTATCCACAATCCATTTTATTTTCAACTATATTCATTTAACTTGGCTTAGGTATAGCCTTCTCAGTGTACACAATATTGAAAATTCAATACTTATTATAGATACTTGTTTCAATTTCAGCTTATCTTTGAATGGTTTGAATGTTAACGGATCCATCAGGTTACTAGCTCTCCCTAAATTGTTCAGTGACGTAACAACTTCCATCAAGGATGCTAAGGTGATTAACAATTTTTATTAACAAACAAAAATAATTCCTTGTGTGAATACACATTGCTGAGCAGCAAAGACTTGCTTTCTTGCATACCCCTCGTGTGGTTATAGTCTGAGAGCTGGCGGCAAAAATCGGTAAGAGTTTAGTAATGGCCATAAATCAATATGATATAGTGTTGAGGGGTACATAAATCAGCACTCACCTGCAAGGTCAGGTAGTGGAACAACTACACCTTTTTCAATTGTTATTCAGAAAGTATAAGATGTAATTCAGAAAGTATAAATTGTAATTCAGAATAGTTAATTGTAATTGAGAAAGTATAACTTCGGCATCTAAACTTAAATTGAGGTGTCCGAGAGTGTTCTTTACTTTATAGGTATATACGGCAGAGCAGAAAATTTTTAATTATGAAACGAGACATAAATTCTAATTTTCGTAGCCTTCGCCGGAGATGATACCACACGTTTCACTGTTGCGTTCCAATGAACAGTGCTGCTCCTAAGGTGGCGTATGGAGTCAGTAACAAAGCCTACACAGAACACACATGGGCAAACTGACCAGTTGGTATGTACATACATACCAACACAGTATACATATACTAGTACTTCTGTAACTAATGGTAGAATTCTGGCATCAAAATATGATGACGATTGACCAAATATAACCTTAGTAAAATGTTGATTGTTGACAACTTACAGGCTGTGAATGCAAACTCATAATTCTACTTATTATCAGCTGAACTTACCATATAACCTCGCTCGAACAAAGTCAGCTTGATCCTATCAAATATATACTGAAAAAGTTAACCTTGAAATACAAAAATTATCAAATTATTAGACATTGGTTAGTTACCATATTCTCAATTTTCTCAAATGTTTCGGGATCAGTCCCTTCAAAAGTCCAGAAATTCCTGGGATACTCTAGAACACATGGAACATTCTGAAATCTTTTAGAAATATCATTCTAGAACTTTTTGAGACTTTCTAGGTTATTCCAGCTGTACGTGTATGGAATTCGATCATTTCCAGCCGTTTTGGTAATCAAAAGTAGCGACTATGCCAAATGTGTGGGACAAAGAGGGTTTTTTGAGAAAATCGGGTAATAGTATTGGTGGAGGCGCTCAAAAATCAATATCTTGTTATCATCATTGCATAGTGCTCATCAACATTTTATAAACATATACAGCCAAAAAAGTATTGATTTCATTGCGAATGGCATTATGAGTTTTTTAAAAATGGTAGCTACCTAAGTAATATATTAATAAAGACTTTCGATTTTCTTCATTCCTGATGGAGAATTCATTTTAAGTATACCTCATCAGATTCGGTTCCCTTAGTTCACTGGTGTAAGGAAAACACATAAGTTGATATTTTCATAAAAAATTATAGTAAGTACGACGCTCCATGTAAGTTTTTCCTCTTGTTCAGTCATCATATCCATACCTACCAATGAAGCGGGTAGGTATACTAGATACTTCAATGTAAGAATTCTACCATCACCATTCTACCATCACTTTCTGTATACGACAATCAAAAAACTACTCCTTCATGTTTTTGCTGGACCACCCTGTATATAGATATTTCAGTCAATCAAATAATCAGTAGAACATATATTGGATCCATCTAATTGGATCAAGCTGTGTTGTCTGATGCTCAAGAAAATTTTAATTTTTTTTTTAGTTCAGTGTCACAGGCTTCTTAGAAGATCCGATCTTGAGTGGGCAGATAAGTGATGCTCTAACAGATGCAATTGTTCCAACATTGAATGAAAAAGAGTTTGCCAATTTTGTTGAGAACGTATTGAACACATTGGTTGGAGAAATCATCCATCGAAATGGAACAGAGCAAGTCAACTTTACGAGTGGTGTGAGTGTGAATCCTAAAACTACCGATCATATACAAGTGCAACTGAATAACACCGAAAAAATTCAATTCTAGCAAATAAAGTTCATATAAACATGTGTTCTAACTTGCTCCGTTTTTAAGATACAGGATGTTGAAGTTGAAAGTATTAATTTTTTTTTATTTATAACCCCCCTGTATTAGCTTTATTCAGTATGGATGGAGACTGAGAAAGCTCCAAAATTTCAAAAAGATTCTAATTGGGGTTATTGAGTAATCTCGATGGAAATCTTGAAAACACCTACATTAAAATTTGGAGTCAATGTTTATATAAATTTTATTTCCTAAAATGCCACAAGGAATCACAAGATACACCTAATATTACGCCTTCTATTTTTTTTTCAGGAATTGTCCATGAGTCCTGCAACAAAACTGAACGACATAGAAATACGAATCAACAACTTAATTCATTTGTTGTCCGGCAAAAACTCACCAAGTGGAATAACTGAATACAGTTAATTACTACATTAAAATCAGGCTAATGGCTAGGAACATCTAGCCATTAGCCTAGCAACACACGGGCGGCCAAAACCATCAAAACAAAGGGCGACCTGTTGCGATATCACAGCTTCCATGGATTAAAAAGATTTTAACTATGCAGCTTCTCAATTCCGCTATACACAGATATACTTAAGTTTCTAGTATAAATTATGTTTAGACAATATATGGGATACTAAAAGTTTGTTATGTTTTTCAATCATTATATATCTTTGTTGCTTGTTGCTGATGCTGGGTTTTTAGATTCAATTAAATTAACCACAATTGACAATCAACAATTCATAATCATGAGGGTGTTCATACATATCTGATATTAATTATAAATTGAATGTGAAATGGCTTTTGATTAAAGATCGAAATGTATTGAAAAGTAATGTTGGTCTTCACAATTCAAGAATCCATGAAAAATATTCCAATTTAATATCACCAAACTCCACTTGAAATAACAAATCCAATCTTCACGTTCTGTCTCCAGAATCTCATAATTCTTAGTTGTTGAGTTGAAAGTTGGCCAACTTATTTGTAATCCCTTATCCTTATTGAAAAGGAATATTCTCAGATATATTTATGAACACAAAAAATGGATACACATTGAGAATTCGCATTCTCCATGTGATGAAAATATACAGGCTCGTGCCACAAACTTTCACACTCGTGAGAAAAGTTGAACTTTCCCCACTTGTTGGACAATATACTATTTTCAACGAGACGCAGCCTATTGAATACTGAGCACGTCGGCGACAATAAGTATATTGCTGCTTGCTTTTCCTCTTTTTCTCTACCGCCTCTTGGAATTCACCGCTGGAGGCTGATAGTCACAAAGCCCACCCCCTAAATCCGGCACTGTTTCTACAATATCGATGATAATTCAATATCAAATAGACATATCCAAGGGAGAGAAAACAGGATGTGGCAGATATCCACGATTTTTGGCAAGTTGAGTGACCCTGCTATCATTTAAGTCGATAGGTACAACTTGCTTAAATAACAAATCATAAAGTTTGTTAATTCGTGGCACAATATTTTGACAAGAAATATCAGAAGTATAAAGCATACCTAGTTGATACATCGGAGCAAGTTTCCTTAATTCTTTTGTACATAATATTACATAGAACCAGCAAAATGTGAGTACCTCAAGTACTTTAATACTACTTACACATATACAGAGTGACCCATTCGAAAGCGAGCCAACCTCATAAAACTTTTATTTATGTAGCGATTTTGACGAACTTTTTTCAAAATGTGGAAGGGGAAAAGGTGTATGTGTATATGTCTGGAGCTCAGTAATGTCCACTTTTTTATTTATGGACCGATTTTGACAAATTTTGTTCTGAAAAACCATCAAGGCCTACTAGATCATATATTCAGAGGCTGAAAAATGCAGAATCCACATTAGCGATTTTTTTAATTCTGCGTGCGCCACTAGAGTCGACGTCCTCTGAAATATATCTGTACCAAGTTTCATGAGAAAATATTCAACATTAACAATACTATATAGGAAATTACTAAAAAGTTAGTTATTATATGAATTACCCATGCGATAACTAATGAATGACGGTTTTTTTTTTCCAAAAAATCTCTACCTAATATTAATTCTGGATTTCTCAGTCCCTGAATGCGATCTATAGTAGACCTTGATTTTTCAGAACAAAATTTGTCAAAATCGGTCAATAAATGAAAAACTGTTGCCCGCTTTCCAATGGGTCACTCTGTATATAAATAGTACCCAAGATTGTGTGCCTAGGACGTTTGTATACAATACGTCTGAAAAAGTATGGCAACAACTTTTTATAACAAGATTCCTCTCAAAAAGTTCTGCATGGCCTAAAACCGGTAATACAAATATCATCATGTATATTATTTTGTGGTATATATATACGAGGTATACAAAAAAATCTCAATTTTGCTCAAGAGTCAAGAATACAATACACCATTGCTTTCGAAAGTATCGAAAATTATTATGGAGAAAAGTTGACTAGAATTGAAAACTACGTTCAAATATCTAATTACATCTATCTACGAAGAAAAACAGGTTTTATTATTTTTTACAATTTATTATATGCTAGCTTCTATGGAAAACCTTTCTATTAGATATTAATTTTAGAAAAAAAAGTTATACTGCATAAAAAGTTCTGCAAGGCCAGAAACCGAGAATATCATATATAAAAATTTGTTCCAGTCGTATGTCAAAAATATGAATTTTGCTCAAGAGCAGCGATGCTCAACAATGAACTCAATATGAACAAACGCGGCCCACTGTCGACATTCATGCGGCCCGCGGATAGTCAAGGTCATCATATCTGACGATGCGATGATACATAGGGGCACAAAGAGGCGAATGCAACTGACAATACTGAATCTGCTTATTTTCCATTGCGAAATCGAAAAAATCACTGAAAGTGACAGATGCTTCGTCTTTCGCTGCATTTTTTGTGCATTAAACAACAGCACAATGCAAAGGCATGCTTGAATTAATGAATAGCGCAAAAAACACGATTCCTACGCCAAAATATTGTGAAAAACTATTTCAATCCTTTGATTCCTCTGTAATCAAATAAAAAAGTGAGGTTGTGTTTCAATAATTCACAGAAGAGTGAGGTTGTGTTTCAATATTTTACCTCCAGGGTCGGTCATCGTGCACGCGACCTATTCATCGTACCCTTTCACCCACTCGAATAGACGCTATGCACTCTCATACAAAAATCAAAGACAAAGATTATATGGATGTACTCTTCCCAGAACTTGTGGAGGAAGAAAGATGCGAGGATCCTTTATCTAAGCGAAAAACAATTTCTTGGCCTTGCCTGGAAAAACATATGATTTATTGCTTCAAAATCGTTTGTGGTTATGTTTGATTGTCACTACTTTTGTCTAGTAGTGTCCGTACATATACAAAAAACGTCAAAACAGCAGTGTCGAGTACATTTAGGAACTCTAATCTAAGCCAGGAGTTGGGAATGTTTTCCCGTAGTTTCCATGCCATCGCGTCAGATGATGACCCTGAATACCGCGAATATTCAACTTTTCATGATATTAAAATTTTTGTAATTGTTAGTAAGATATGTATCTTCAAGTACATACCTACCCACTCAACTACTTTCTTGTTCAGGTTCATACTATACAGAACAGGTATATTCTCCTCCTCTTTGAATATCTTGAAAACGCGGCTCCAAGGCAAAGATAAATTGATTCTGCAGTTATACTCTTATGTTTCGTCCATTCGATGCAATAATAATAGAGTCTTCTGAGGACACAAATCAATTCAGCCAATATTATAGCCATATCATTTCTAGTAATAGGTAATTCATACTATTTATAAAAATAAATATTTAGTGGCCCGTACTTGGCTAATAATTTTCCCGAGTGGCCCTTGTTCCCTATAATACGAAAAAATATACCTTACATACAGATTTCCGTATTCCCTCTGCCAAATTTGCATTTGCAGTTTGTATCACCCTGTACATGCATACATTAAATTTTTTGTCTCGTTTAGCAGCGATGAAGAGCATATCCCTTCTTCATAGGTCAGAAATTTGTAGTAAGCACTTGATTGTTTAGAAAAAGAAGGCTCTTTTCTTATGCAGAAAGCACAGAAAGTATGTTTTAAATTCTCCTTCCTTATTGAACAGTATGTTTCAAAATTCAATATGAAGATTCCAGAGGCTTATTTTTTACACCATATAACACCGAACGATACCAGTGCCAATGACGGCTAAATGGACTGTCTGACGGGTTATACATGACTGTTCATTCAGCGAAAATCGCCAAATCGCCCTGTAATGAAATTTTGAAGGGACGGCAAGTGGCGTCATCTATTTCCTGTGTCAAATGAGCTATTCAACATAACCTGCATTCATGATCCTGCATTATTTGTTGACAAATTTTCTCACTGTCAGCCTGTCACTCATTGTCACTCGAGATTGGAGAGCTTTGTTCGAGATACCAAGTAAAACTGTGAAAAGGCCAACAAAATGAAGTGGTTAGGAGTGTTCATGCCAAATAACGCTATTATATGCATAAATAATAATGCCATTCAAGTGGAAATCATCTTCGTCAATTCGTGAATAGGTAAGGACATGTTCAATTATTTCATTGATTGAATTTTTAACTGCCTAATAAGAGCCATGGTAGCCCTAATAACCAGATACTGCTGTATTCTCAAAGTGAAATGTACTGCAACATTTTATATTGTTTCACAAAATCTGTGATCTCAAGTGATATTTCTTAATTTGTATTTTCAGGAAGATACTGAATTTTCTCAACACAATGTTGAAGCAGCTCTTCATGAGGTTTGATTGAATGATGACTGGAGACATTCAATTCTGATGATGCTATCTATGCATAACCAGAATATTTACTATAAGGTGAGCTTTGTGAACAGTTAATTAGGTGAGGGTTCAGAAAAATAATCAGGCATTTTAACTACTCAGGTATCTCCTTGAATAGCAAATTAAATATCAATTTATCATTTCATACTTATATATTTCATATCAGATATACAGATAAATTGTATTGCAAAATTGATAGAACATTGAAATCAATAATTGTTCTATAGCAACATTTCTTTATAGGTTCTGGGGATGGCAACACAATGAATATAAAACGGCTTGGATATGGGATCTTGACTTTGGAGGATGAAGCTAGGTTACCTGGAGATCCTTTGGACACTGGAAATAAAAGAGGAAGATGATATATTATTGTGTATCCCACAATTTCTATTATCTGTTCAGAAATCAGCAGAGAAGAAGCATGTTTTGAGTTCAAATATAAGCTCATCATCAGCTAATTTAATGTAAAAAGAAATTGTTTATTATGGTGACTGTCTATGGAATGCAATTATTATATTGCTTGAATAAATGCTTTCTATACATATCATCTATCTATCTATCAATCCATATTTTTCAACCATTTTCAAAACTTTGTTGTGGAGACAGAAATAGTTATATGCATTTCAAAAGTTG